TCTCTCTCTCTCTCTCTCTCTCTCTCTCTCTCTCTCTCTCTCTCTCTATTATCGCCTGCCTGTGAGTGTGTTTTGAGGTGACTCAAAGGTAACATATCAGGCAATTAAAACATTAAATAGATTAACAAAAATAAGAATAAGGACAGCACTCTAATATACAATTCAAATCAGATTATGGTGACTGTTGTTGTCACTTAACGTGTCTGTTTTCTATTGAAGTGAAGAGAAGAATTGTAAAACGTTGAGAATACTAACACCTCAGATGTATTCTCTTTTATATTCCTACTACTTCTATAATGGTATTCTGAACACTACCTAAAAAATACATCAGAACTGAATGATAGAACTCTCAAAGCCATACAATACTGCAAGAACAGGAGAGTCTTTATTTTTTCATCCTTTTCAGTCGAATGGAGAAAGAGAGACGGAGAAAAGACAGGGCCCTAATCCACAGAGCACACAGACCCCTTTCATAGGAGTGCTGGGAGAGACCTTTATTTGTCCATTCCTATCATGGAGAAAGCGGGTTTCAAGCTCGGCTAGGTCTGGGCTGGAAGATTAGATGAAACCAGAGTGTTTTAAACCTCTTCTGTGGCCATGGATTAGAGTCAGCCAGTCCCCCTGCACTCTGAAATGAAACAATGAGAGGTACAGGTAGCTCAGCGGGAGAAGTTGAACAGCATTTTGAGTGCATTGGGTTAAAAACCTAAATAATCTCCAAGCAACAAAAAAGGATAGCCCTCATTTAACTTCAGGAAGAAGGGAGGGAATACCTCACATACACCTGGATTTATGTGGGCAAGTATATGTTAATATTTTGACCTAAGCATCTGGGACACATCCCAGTCATAATATTTGTTGGGGTGCAACACATCCATTTAAATGTATTGTGAACCCGCTCGAACTACATTCTCATCTCCTAGACATACTTAAACTATACTAAATGACACATACAATGTTTGGGATTTAGAGTGAAGGATGATTACCAGTGTATCTAATTAACTAATGAGCTTAATGAAATACATAAGCACATAATGACCTACATGGAAAGGGTGAGTCTCAGTTGTAAAGTAGCAGTGAGTTTAAACCAATTAGTGCAAATGGAGATGGCAGGACAGTAACCTCTCTGCAGGAGGTGGGAGAACGTGTCTGCTGACCTGCCTGGACAGATACCATAGCCTACATCATCATTAATTATTCCTGGCATCTCAACTTACCCAGGGGCAGGGAGGGTGTGTGGGACAATGCCAGGGTGCACTCGAAAGCTAGAGCCTTGGTCTCGCTGTGGCTCCGAGGAGGAGCAGGAGGAGAGGGTGATAGGGTTGGGGTGTGTATACAGTATCATCCATCCAACCCAAGAGACTGTGTGGTAAGGAAATCCCTGGATTCCCACTCTCGCTCCAGCCACCCGGTCGTGGGGGCCGGCAGGTCACTTTACAGCTCCATCACCAGATTAGAAAGACTGCGGGTCAGCCTGAGCAGCAGCCAGACCACAGAGAGGTAGAAATAGATGGGAGTGCTACGGTGCAGTCTGCCACGCTCCTCTCTCATCATGGAGAGGTAGAGGACTGCACTGTATGCCGTGGAGGGCAAAAGTCCAGGGAGCAACACTAGACACTGCTTTTACATAAGTCCATAAGTCTGGACCATAAAGTAATGAATATAGTGTGGACACCGAGCGCTAGTGTACAAAGTGACGAGCATGTGGAATTTTCTTTTTACTGACATAGGCATTATTAAAGTGACATAAGATACACACCAAGATACAATGATACAAATACACTGTATCTTTCTGGAGGCTTTTTAAGCTAACCTTAAAGGGTTTGTGTATTCAATGAGATTTTGTTTAATGGACCTTTATTCAAGCAAAATTTCCCAAAAGGTTCCTCAAAGGAATAGTTCGACACTTCAGGTGAAGTCCTGACTTACTTTGTTCAGACATGACATATCTTATACTTACTTTTATTTGTTGTACATGAAATTCCTCAACCTGATTTACACACTCCTACATCAGTTAGTCTTGACAACCCTCAGTGAAGTGGTATTAACTTTTTCCTTCAGGCAAGGATGAACAAGTTTATAAATACAAACAAGCATTTCAATTTTTTGCAGACCTACCCCTTGATCAAAACACAATATGTTGACATAATTTGTATCGTGTGAACATTTTTTGACATGGTAATAAGAAAAAACACCAACTTTCAAGGTCTCCTTTAAGTACGGCACTAAGTTGGACAAATGAAT